GTTAGTATTTTTTTCTCTTCTTCAGGTAAATCCCCAGAAATGTGGATCATATGGTAGGTCTCTTTTTAATTTTTGAGAAGCCTCCTTATTATTTTCCACGGTGCCTACACCAGTTTGCATTCCCATGAATAGTGTATAAGGGCTTTTCCCCACATCCTTGCCAACAGTTGTTATTGCTTGTGTTTTTGATATAGCCATTCTCACAGGTATGAGGTGGTATCTCCTTGTGGTTTTGATGTGCATTTCTCTGATGATTAGGGATAGTGAGCCTCTTTTCACGTATGTACCTGTTCACCATGTGTATGTCTTCTTTGGAAACATGTCTATTCAGATTCTCTGCCCATTTTTAAATTGGATTATTTGTGTTTTTTTGTTATTAAGTTGTAGGAATTCTTTATATTGTTTGGATATTAACCCCTTATCAGAATGATTTGCAAATATTTTCTTTCATTCAGTAGATGGCTTTTTCATTTTGTTGATTGTTTCCTTCACTGTGCAGAAGCTTTTTAGTATTAGTTCCCTGTGTTGATTTTTGCTTTTGTTGTCTTTGCTTTGGTGTCAAATCCAAAAAAATCAGCACTGAGACCAATGTCAAGGAGCTTACTATCTATGTTTTCTTCTAGGAGTTTTATGGTTCCAGGTCTTACATTCAAGTCTTTAATTTCTTTTGAGTTAATTTTTGTGTATGATGTAAGATAGTGGTCCAGTGTTATTCTTTTGCATGTAGCTGTCCAGTTTTCTCAATACCCTTTATTGAAGAGACTGTCCTTTCCCCACTGTGTATATTCTTGGTTCCTTTATTATAAATTAATTGACTACAAACTTGAGTTGATTTCTAGGCTCTCTGTTCTGTTTCATTGGTCTGTGTATCTTTTTATGCCAATGCCATACTGTTTTGATAACTATAGCTTTGTAATATAGTTTGAAATCAGGGAAAATGGTGCCTCCAGCTTTGTTTTTTTCAAGATTGCTTTTGCTCTCCAGGGTCTTGGTTCTACACATACTTTAGGATTATTTGTTCTATTTCTGTGAAAAATACCACTGGAATTTTGATAAGGGTTACATTGAGTCTGTAGATGGCTTTGGGTAGTTTGGATATTTTAACAATATTGATTCTTCTAATCCATGACATGGAATATTTGAGGTGACTTTATAGAATATAATCTGTGAATAATAAGAATCGACTGTATATATATATTTATTAATTTTTTAAAATTTTTATTAATTTATTTGACAGAGATCACAAGTAGGCAGAGAGGCAGGCAGAGAGAGGAAGGGAAGCAGGCTCCCTGCTGAGCAGAGAGTCTGATGTGGATCATCACCCTGGGATCATGACCTGAGCCGAAGGCAGAGGCTTTAACCCACTGAGCCACCTGGGCACCCTATATATATATTTGATACTGCTTTTGTATAGAATAGTCTTGCTAGATTCTTACAAATTTTGATAACTTACCTGTAGATTCTTTGGGATTTTCCACATGCATAATCATGTCATATGCAAAATCACACTTTATTCCCCCTTCGCCAATCTTTAGGACTATAATTTCTCTTTTTTGCTTTGCTCTGCCAGCCAGGATCTTCAGTACATTGTATAGAAGTGGTCTTACATGTCCTGTTCATAATCTCAAAGGGGAAAGCTATGAGTTTCAGTTGGTACCTGCATATTCATATATTGATTCATATGAATATCTTTATATTCACATATTCAGTATGGTATCTGCGTAAGTTTTTCTTAGATAGCCCTTATCAGATTACGGTTTCTCTTCCTAGTTTAAGACTTTTTGTCATGAATGGATATTGAATATTTTTTAATCAACTGTCTTTTCTGCATCTTTTGAAATGATTATTTGTCTTTATGGTTGATTTTTCTAATGGTAACCTTCCCTTTCTGGAATTAAGCCTCCATTATATTGTATTATACTTTTTCTATGTTGCTGACTTGAGTTAGCTAATATTTTGTTTAGATTTTTACATCTGTATTCATTAGTGAGATGTAAATTTTTCTTTCTTAAAATTTCCTGGTTAGGTTTTGATTAAGGTTATAGCTAGTCTCCTAAAACCATGTGGTTTTAAACAGATTTGGGTGGGTAGTGTTCTTTTTTAAAAAAAAAAGCAATCTCAGGGGAGTGCCTTAGTTATTTGAGTGTCTGACTCTTGATTTTTGGCTCAGGTCATGATCTCAGGGTTGTGAGATTAAGTCCCAGGTCAGGTTTCATGCTGAGTGCTGTGTGCAGAGCCTGCTTGAGGTTCTCTCTCCCTCCCTCTGCTCCTCCCCTGTTCTCTCTGTGTCTCTTTCTCTCAAATAGAATAGAACAGAATAGAAAAAGAATTCCTTCGATAGTTTATGTGAGATTGGCATGAATTTTTCCTATCATTTTGGTGGAACTTGACAGGAGGACCATCAAGGCCTGGATATTTCATTGCAAGAAGGTTTTTACTATTGTTTATTTTTGCTAATGGTTATTGGACTGTTGCATTTTATACTTCTTGTGCAGTTTTTGGTAAGTTTTGTTTTTCTAGCTACTTATCCATTTTATCTATATCTTCAAATTTATTTTTATCGAGTTATTTACAATATCTCTTTTCATTTCTAATGATGTGTTTCCTTTTCCCCCCTAATATTGGTTTTTGGCCTTCTTTTTAAGAAGAGATTCTTGATCAGTTTCATTGACTATTTGTCAGCTTTATTACTGTTTTTAAAAAACTCACTTTCCTTTTTGCTCTTCTCTGCTATGTTTTCCATTCATGTGAAAAAGAATTAACATTGCAGGCCTGAGACTGCTATTCTTAGAAAGTCCTGCTTACAAGATTGGTCCTTGACTGGTGTCTAGAGACTTAGATTTCAGGATGGTTCTCACCATTCCTTGACTGATAAGGGTAGTTAACTGTGCTAACAATGTAGTTTGTACTGAGCACCAGCTTTCTTAATAGGAATCTAGAATTTTGGTATGTGATAGGAAGAGGGTGTCAATAGGACCAGCCCCCATAAGAACTTTGGCGACTGGGTCTCTGATAAACTTCCCTGGTAGACGACATTTTACATGTGTTCACATAATTCAGTGCTGGGGGAATTAAGGGTATTCTTTTTTTTTTTTTTTTTTAACATTTGTTCCTGCATTTTATTTTTTTTTCCTGTTTTTAAAATTTTTTTATTTTTTTATTAACATGTAATGTATTATTAGCCCCAGGGGTACAGGTCTGTGAATCACCAGGTTTACACACTTCACAGCACTCACCGTAGCACATACCCTCCCCATTGTCCATAACCCCACCACCCTCTCCCTACCTCCCTATCCCCAACCCCCCTCAGTTTGTTTTGTGACATTAAGAGTCTCTTATGGTTTGTCTCCTTCCTGATCCCATCTTGTTTCATTTATTCTTTTCCTAACCCCAAGCCCCCCAAGTTGCCCCTCAATTTCCTCATATCAGGGAGATCATATGATAATTGTCTTTCTCTGATTGACTTATTTCGCTAAGCATAATGCCCTCTAGTTCCATCCATGTTGTTGCAAATGGCAAGATTTCATTTCTTTTGATGGCTGCATAGTATTCCATTGTGTATATATACCACATCTTCTTTATCCATTCATTTGTTGATGGACATATAGGTTCTTTCCATAGTTTGGCTATTGTGGACATTGCTGCTATAAACATTCGGGTGCACGTGCCCCTTCGGATCACTATGTTTGTATCTTTAGGGTAAATACCCAGTAGTGCAATTGCTGGGTCATAAGGTAGCTCTATTTTCAACTTTTTGAGGAACTTCTATGCTGTTTTCCAGAGTGGTTGCACCAGCTTGCATTCTCACCAACAGTGCAGGAGGGTTCCCCTTTCTCCACATTCTTGCCAGCATCTGTCATTTCCTGACTTGTTAATTTTAGCCATTCTGACTGGTGTGAGGTGGTATCTCATTGTGGTTTTGATTCGTATTTCCCTGATGCCGAGTGATGTGGAGCACTTTTTCATGTGTCTGTTGGCCATGTGGATGTCTTCTTTGCAGAAATGTCTGTTCATGTCCTCTGCCCATTTCTTGATTGGATTATTTGTTCTTTGGGTGTTGAGTTTGCTAAGCTTTTTATAGATTTTGGATACTAGCCCTTTATCTGATATGCCCTTTGCAAATATCTCCTCCCATTCTGTCAGTTGTCTTTTGGTTTTGTTAACTGTTTCCTTTACTGTGCAAAAGCTTTTGATCTTGATGAAGTCCCAATAGTTCATTTTTGCCCTTGCTTCCCTTGCCTTTGACGATGTTCCTAGGAAGAAGTTGTTGCAGCTAAGGTGGAAGAGGTTGCTGCCTGTGTTCTCCTCAAGGATTTTGATGGATTCCTTTCTCACATTGAGGTCCTTCATCCATTTGAGTCTGTTTTCATGTGTAGTGTAAGGAAATGGTCCAATTTTATTTTTCTGCATATGGCTGTCCAATTTTCCTAACACCATTTGTTGAAGAGGCTGTCTTTTTTCCATTGGACATTCTTTCCTGCTTTGTCGAAGATTAGTTGACCATAGAGTTGAGGGTCTATTTCTGGGCTCTCTATTCTGTTCCATTGATCTACATATCTGTTTTTGTGCCAGTACCATGCAGTCTTAATGATGAATTAAGGGTATTCTATGTGGCTCCACTGGGAGAGGACTCTTGGAAGCATGCACCTAATTTCTGGCAGTCTTTGTCCCCTCCCCCTTTTCTCTTTACTGATTTTGCTTTGTGCCCTCTTGCTGTGATAAATCATAGCTGCGAGGGCAACTATATGCTGAGTTCTGTGAGTCCTTCTATCTAATCATCATTGAATCTAGGGGGTAGCCTTGGGGATGATTGGCTGACCATTGTGAATGGGAGGTATTTTTGTCAGAGATCGGGCTGCTTATTGTTCTTGAAGCATGGTTACTCTCAGTCAGTCTCGTTTTGCTTATCTATTTAATTTCCCTTGTGCATCAAAAGATATTTGTATCACATGCAGAGATAATTTGATTCTCTCCTTTCCCCATTGCTCCTCAAATTTAAGGTCTCTTAAGGATGGTGCAGTTAAGAAAACTTATCCTCCAAAGGTACTGGCCAACCAGAAGTCTTCTGCCTTCTCTGGGATCCGGAGTGAGAAACCTTGTGCCACTCATCCAGTTCAGTATCCTGCCTCACATGGTTGGACCCGAAGGAACCGGTTACGAGAATTGCGTATCAGGTGAGCTTGCATGTTGTCACCTGCCTGCAGTGGCTTTTCCACTGTTCACTCTTCTTGGTTAAAATGAGGGGATAATTCTTATTCTCCTATCTCAATTAGTCGGAGACTTTGATGCTTACTCTTTGTGGCAGAATGTTAAGAAGAAAAGGATATTTAGGAATCTACAGACTTAAAGTCTGTCATTCTGTGTTTTCATTCCCATTCTCTAGTTGTTCCCACAATGTGTAAGCTGTAAAGAGTCTTCCAGAAAAAGTCTAAACATAGTCTAAGAAAAATTATCATTTTCCACTCCTCTTGATTAGGTCTATTAAAGGCATTTATTCATTCAGCAAAAAATTTTTTAAAAGATTTTTATTTATTTGAGGGGGAGAGAGAGAAAGAGCAAGAAAGCAGGAGCAAGGAGGTAGGGATGGAGGGAGAGGGAGAAGCAGACTCCTCACTGAGCAGGGAGCCCAATTCAGGGCTCGATTCCAGGACTCTGGGATCATAACCTGAGCCAAAGGCAGACACTTAACCAACTGAGCCACTCAGGTGCCCTCAACAAAAATTTATCAAGCTTTCTCTTCCTGAGGATGTGGCAGCCATCTCCTATTCAGCATCATGGCCTTCCTCTGACCTCTGGTGAAGCCCAAGATTGTTACAAAGAGGACCAAGAAATTTATCTGGCACCAGATATATCAAAATTAAGCACAACTGGAAGAAACCCAGAGGCATTGACAGTAGGGTGCACAGAAGATTTAAGGGCCAGATCTTAATGCCCAGCATATGTTACAGGAACAACAGGAATACCAAGCACATGCTGCCCATTGGTTTCCGGAAGTTCCTAGCCCACAGTGTCAGGGAGGCTGAAGCTCTGCGATGTGCAACAAATCTTACTGTGTAGAGATTACTCACAGTGTCTCCTCTAAGAAGCACAAAGCCACTGTGGAAAGAGCAGCCCAGCTGGCCATCAGAGCCACCAATCCCAATACCAAGCTGCACAGTGAAGAAAATGAATAGATAGCTTACGTGCATATTTGTGTTAATAAAACCATAAAACTACCAAAAAAATTTATCAGGTGCCTACTTGGCCAGGTGTGCTAGATGATGAGTATATAAGGTGAATAAACATTCATAGTCCATGACCTTCCGAAGGCTTAAAATCATGTAGGCTTGACTGACTGTTGAGTCCCACCAAGAAAGCAGGATAAATGCTAAAAGACGAGAGGATGTGGTGCTGCAGGCCCATGTGGGTAGAACAGCCCCACTAGTGTAGCCAGAGGAACTTCCTGGAGGAAGTGGGGTTTAAGATGAGCCTTAAAGGATAATGTATGAATAAGCCACATAAAGAGTAGGAAGAAGAAGAGTGTTCCAAGCTGAACCTGGAGACTAACTGGCCAAGACAAGCCACCTTTTTTGCATGTGTACCAGGTGCTGTGCTAGGTACTTGAGATACTATAAGACTCGGTCCCCATTCTCTCAAGGGCTTACAGTGCAGAGGGAACAACAGGTCCCCTGTGAGCTGATTACTGTGATTTGGTGTCATAACATTATATTATACTAAGGGTTGGATCAGGGTGTTGAGGGTACAAGGCTACTCACCGTGTTTGGATTGGGGAAGGTCCAGGAAGGCTTCACTTAGGAGCAGGCATTGAAGGTGAGCCTTGATAGGTAAGTGGGCATTTGCTAGGTGTTTTAGGCAGTAAGAATAATGTGAATAAAAGCATTTTCATGTACTTGCTTCCTTTTCCTCGACTCTGAAGTCTTCATTGACAAAAGACTTTATATTGAAAGTATTTTTCAAAAATAATCGGCTTGGGGGTTGCCTGGCTGGCTCAGTTGGTAAAGCATATGACTCTTGATCTCAGGGTTGTGAGTTAGAGCCCCACAATGAGGGTATAGATTACTTATAAAAATAAAAATAATAAAACAATCTGCTTGATCTTGGCTTTATAAATCTGTCCATCCTATGCTCTATTTGATGCAAGAATAGCTGTGATTCACCTTTTGACTCATGCTAGCATATCTCCCCGTGGGACATTAACTTCCCTCTGCTTTCCAGAAAATTGATGAAATAAGTCAAATGGAATTTTAAAATGTGTATGTATATATCCTTTCTTTCCTTTTTTCAGATGCGTGACCAGAAAGTTCTTATATTTGTGGATTCGAATGACTTTTGGAAGAGTATTTCCCTCTAAAGCCAGGTAGTATTAGCTCAGAAAACCAAATTCCTCTGAGTTTATTCTAGGTTTTTGTTTTGTAGTAAGCCCATACGTAACCTTTGTTATGGCATGTGTTACATTCTCCTCCCTTCTCCCCCAGCCTCTAGCAGGCATATGATATAATGGTAACCTAATACGCCCTAGTTTGACCCAATGAGTGTATGAAGGAATTCTAAGTAAACCAGGGTAGCTAAGACCCTCTCTGAAAAAAAGGATTTGCCCAGAAGTAAATAATCTCTTTCACGGACTGACCACATTGACTTGATCTAGGACAGAACCTGGGGGGAAAAGTTGGCATTGGCAAGGGGAGTGAAATTTTAGTATAGAAAGTCCCTGTGCCCCCGCTTCACTTTGTATGGGCCACTGCCCCCTGCTTCGGGTTTGGTTAAAAGGGCTTCAGCTGCAGCACAAAGAGCGAAGAGCGGATTGCCGTGGGGGCCACCAGGGTTAGGGACCCATGCAGGAGCGGGTGGGGTTGGAGACAAGGGGCCAGTGTAGGGTATATTGCAGAGGAAAAATTGACAGCCATTGAGATGTAAGCATTTTTTTAAAAACAGAAATGTTGTGGGCTCTTAACCCCTCTACTCTTCCCTTATTACAACTTTTCTTGTTTCATTTTTCTCACATTGTGGCTTTCCTAATCTGGAACATCATCCAAGTCTCTTAAACAAATTTGGCCTGTGGGTGTCCTCTGAAATCTTTGCATATACCCTGTGGGGAGCCATGCTCTTCCCATCTCCTTTGTGTGTCTTTACCAGTCCCAGCCTCACAGGTTAGGCAGAGTTCACCTCTGCTTTTCCTTCTTCTCCTGGACCTTGGCCCTGTCCTTTTTCACTTGCTTGGTAGCTTTTCAGTACCTTCAAATAAAGTTGTTGTTGTTTTTAATTCAGTTGAATATTTTATTTATTACCCCACCCAAACTTTTATTCTTCTTTTAGTGACTGTCCTAAAGCATAAAATATATATGTTTAATTTATCAGTGTCTAATGTTAATAGGTCCTTTTGCCCTCTTCCCAAACAAGGCAAGGTCCTTAAAGCAACCTTTAACTCTGTCCCCCCTCCTGACTTATATGCCCTTTCTATAAGGTATTTTAATTCTGTTTATATTTGAAAATCTGTAAAACATTATTTTTTCTTGTTTTATACAGCTAATATTCACTTAGATTTATTCACATATTTATCCTTCCTGTTTTTTTCCCGTGTCTCCAGTTTTCCATCTGTGATTATTTTGCTTATGTCATTGGAACAGCCTGATCATTTGCTTCAGAATAGATCTGCTTGTGATGAATTCTCTCAGATTTTGTCTAAAAATGTTTTTATTTCACTTTCGTTTTTGAAGGATATTTCACTGCATAGAGAAATCTAGGTTGCCAGTTTCTTCCCCAGCATTTTGAAGATAGTTCATTGTCTTATGGCTTCCATTTGTAAGTTGTTAGTCTAACTATTACTGTTTTGAAGTTTCATTATCTTATTTTTCAGAGTTTTAATATGATATGCCTAGGTATGGATTTATTTTCTTAAAGTCTTTTAGTTCATTCTGAGATAATAGCTGACAGGGTTTTGTATTTTTGCTTTGTTTTGTGGACACATCTTTCTGGCATATTTTCTTAGTCTATAGGCATGTTATTCTCCTTTTGCTTTCCCATAAAATAACTTTGTGGAGGATTTGACCTCATATTTTGTTGCTCCTTTTTATTTGGAATTGATCTTTCTGGACTTTTTAGAATGAGGCAAGATCAGTTAACTTTCCTACTTCACAGAGTTCCCACTTCTGTCTCGTTTGAAAAATATGGCAGCTTGCTCTATGGGATATCCTGGTTCTGTTTCCCTAAAACACTTGGTCTGATCCTCTCTTTCTTCATCTCTCATGCATCTCCTGCTCAATTTCTATTCTACTTCCAGCAGGTTTTCCTCATTCTGAAGCTCTGGCCTAAAAGGGAGCTTGGCATGTTGGTTCTGAGACTAGGAGCAGGACTGCTCCAACTGTTTCAGTTCTGTCTACATGAGCCCTGGCAGTGGAGTGGAGAAAACTCCTCTCAGGTTCAGCTGCGAGTCTCAGATGGAGCCTTTGCAATTTGTAGTGACCACTTAATGGCTGTTTTGGGTCCCCCCCGCCCCCATTCTCAGGTTCCTTAGATGCCAACCTCCGTGTTCCTTCTTTCTCCTGTAGAAATGTTAAAACCATGCAGGTCTTTTGACTATGGATGGTTTGTCTTCATCTGCTTGCATTTTGATTTTATGGGGATAACTTGTCCCATGGTTTTGTTGTAATTGGTACGTGAATTTTTGGTTTTGCTACATGGTTGTTGTTTGTGTTTTATGGGGATTTAGAGACTGGAAGCCTCTGTTGTCCCCTCCACTATCTTCCCCAAGTTCTTTTCCTCTTCACTTTTATTTAACTTATTATTTGACCCTACTTAACTAGAAATGTTTGTTTAAGTAATGCCCATTTATAGTCCTAGTACTTGGGAAATGCTGATTATATTAGAAATGCATTCAGGGGTGCCTGGGTGGCTCAGTGGGTTAAGCCTCTGCCTTTGGCTCGGGTCGTGATCTCAGAGTCCTGGGATTGGGCCTCGTATCAGGCTCTCCACTCGACGGGGAGCCTGCTCCCCCCGCCCCCGCCTACTTGTAATCTCTGTCTGTCAAATAAATAAATAAAATCTTAAAAAAGAAAAGAAAAGAGGGGCGCCTGGGTGGCTCAGTGGGTTAAAGCCTCTGCTTTCGGCTCGGGTCATGATCCCAGGGTCCTGGGATCGAGCCCCACATCGGGCTCTCTGCTCAGCAGGGAGCCTGCTTCTCCGTCTCTCTCTGCCTGCCTCTCTGCCTACTTGTGTTCTCTGTCTGTCAAATAAATAAATAAAAATCTTTAAAAAAAAAAAAAAGAAAAAGAAAAGAAATGCATTCAACTCTAAGTAAGAGAAAGTCTGACAGTGTCTTTAACAAATTGGGATTTGCTTTTTCTTGTAAGCAGTCTGGAGGTTGGTGTTCATTTAGCTGCTCAGGGAGCCCATCGGAGACTCCGGCTCTTAGTACCTTTCGAGTTCACCATTTTTAACGTATTGGCCCTTTTTCCTCAGAGATGACACTGCATTGTTGCAAAATGACTGTTCTGTTTTACACAGGAAGGAGTAGGGAAGGGCAGCGTCAGATCTCTCTTTTACTCAGGAAAATAAAACTTTCCTGGAAGCCTTCAGTTGCATTCTGCTTTTTTTTTTTTTAAAGATTTTATTTATTTATTTGATAGACGGAGATCGCAAGTAGGCAGAGAGGCAGGCAGAGTGAGAGGAAGGGAAGCAGGCTCCCTGCTGAGCAGGGAGCCCTACGCAGGGCTCAATTCCGGGACCCTGGGATCATGACCTGAGCTGAAGGCAGAGGCTTTAACCCACTGAGTCCCCCAGGTACCCTTCTGCTTCTGCCTCATTGTCTGAGCTATGTTACTGACTGCCTTGTGCTACAGAGGAGGCTGGGAAAGAAACCTTTCCAGCTTCTGCATCAGATGCCCATGAGGAGGCAGAGGCTTGATAGTGGGTGTTGTGTTAGCCAGTGACCGATGTCTGTTATATTGCTTTAAAATCATCCTGTTAGGGTGCCTGGGTGGCTCAGTGGGTTAAAGCCTCTGCCTTCACTCAGGTCTTGATCCCAGGGTCCTGGGATCGGGTCCCGAATCGGGTTCTCTGCTCAGCAGGGAGCCTGATTCCCTCTCTCTCTGCCTGCCTCTCTGCCTACTTGTGATCTCTCTGTCAAATAAAAAAATAAAATCCTATTACAATCTTTACTTTCTTTGCTCATGAGTGGTAGCAGGGTCTGGAGGAATGATACTGGACTGGAATTTGGGAGACCTGAGTTTGGGGCCTAGTCCAGGCCTTAGCTAATTATTTGACCTGGGGGAAAGTTATGGCTCTGGGCCTTAGTTTCTCAGATTGCAGAATGAGAGAGTAAGAATACTGCTTGTTCTCTAACATCCACCAGAATTAGAATTCTGATACTGTGTTGACTTAGAAATTTAGGGTGGGATGTTTTTGTTTTTTTTCTTTAAGTTCTAATCTCTTTTTATTTTTTTATTATTATTTTTTTTCATTTTGTAATCTCTTTTTAAATCAAGTGAGTTGTTTGTTACTTTGGGGAAGATTGGACATACTGATTTTTGCTTTTTTGTTTGTTTTCTTCGTTTTTCATGTTTTTTCCTCACTTTTAAGAATATTAGAGGAGAATTAATTCATACCAGAAAATGCAGAATAATGCCTTTATGTTCTTGGAGATTGTTTTAACTTTTACTAACTGGCATTGTTTTATCATTAATAAACTGAACCAAAATGACCAAAAATAATGCAGTATATGTCCATATATAAGGTACTCTTAAATGTGAGGTAGTCACTTTCCCGAACAGAAGATCTGAACAGTTTTGTGTTGTTGTTTTTTTAAGATTTTATTTATTTATTTATTTGACAGAGAGAGAAAGATCAGAAGTAGGCAGAGAGGTAGGCAGAGAGAGGGAAAGGGAAGCAGGCTCCCCGCTGAGCAGAGAGCCCGATGAGGGGCTCGATCCCAGCACCCGGGATCATGACCTGAACAGATGGCAGAGGCTTTAACCCACTGAGCCACCCAGGTGTCCCCTGAACAGTTTTTTTTTTTACTAACTTGAGAAGTAGGTAAAACAGTCATGTCCTTCTATAGTATTTAATTCATCAAGCTTTCTTCCTAAGATTTCTTAGCTAATGGCCTTGCTTCCTACTTTCTTGATAGAAACAACACCGTCAACATCTTTCACTGTGCAAGCTGCTTTCCCTACCGTTAGGCAGGTGAATTGTCCTTGCTCTCATCTGCGGCAAAATCCTTGGCTTTTGCACCATTTTCTTTGTGCCTACTCAAGGCCATTACCCAAGCAGTTTTTTTCTCTTTTCTGCATCAGTTTTTTGCCATTTACTGGGTCATTTGCACCAGCATATATCCTTACTTCTCTCAACCTGAAAAAAAAAATCGCTTTGACCATACGTCCTCCTGCATCTAGCACCTCCGTCTCTTTGCTCCCCTTTACCTCAACTCCCCTGGCCTTACTCTGTCTCCAACACAGAGTATGGATTTGTAGTCTCTCTCAAATCCATCCTACTAGGCTTTAGACTGGCCCTCCACCAGAACTGTTTTCGTTAAGGTCACTACATCATCTTTGCACTGCTTCTGTGGAACCTCACAACCGTGACAGTCTCATCAGCTCTCAGGATGATTCCCAAATATATACACCCCACCAGACCTCCCCCTTGTCCAGACTGCTACATATGTAACAATCCATTGTGTCTAATAGATGTCGCAACTTAGTATGTTCAAATCCAAAATCTAGATCATCCCCACAAACATCTCTCCCAAGTTTTCTCCTTCTGTTAATGGAAACTCCCATCTTTCCAGGAACTCAGGTCAGAAGCCTGGGAGTCACCTCTGACCTCTCTTACTCTCTCACACCCCAGTCTGCAATGCCAGTGCTGTAATTGTGGTGACTCACTTTTCAAAATGTGTTCAAACTCCACCTCTCTTCAGAACCTCCAGTTATCATTGTGTCTCTCCTGAATGACCCCTGTGACCACGCTGGTCTCCTGCTTCCAGCCCTGCTCCAGTCAGTCTCTTCACGACAGGTATTCTGAGTAGATCAAGTCCTGTCTCTCCTGTGCTCATGTGGCAGGTAGCTTCCCTACAGGCTGAGAGAGCGTAAGACCGTAGTCGTTACTTGGTGTATAAGGCCAATCACCTTTTTGTTTCACCCATCTGTGGATTTTTTTTTTTTAATTTCTGCTGTCCCGTTTTAAATTTCCTGCATCTTGTTTTGTTCTCTGAGTATTTTTAAAAACATAGCACCCTGAAGATTCTTAATTTTTTTAGGTTAATGTAGCAATTTATTTTTAAGATTTTGCTTATATTGTCCGTTTCTCCTGTGCTCCCTTTTCTCTGTTCTTTTGGTCACTGTCTCATATGGGAGCCTTTCCCTAAATGTCAAAAGACCCTTTTGTTGTCTGTTCATATTTAAGAGTTAAGCACTAAAATATTAATTTTGGAGGCTTTTCTGTGTATGCACAGGGACTTGTAAATTGAAGCCTTCACTTTAGGTTTTTGAGGCAGAGACAAGACAGTTTCACTGGGGAACCTCCAGCTGTCAGTATCTAAAAGCCTTTTCCCTGGGAGCACCTGGGGGGCTCAGTCGGTTAAGTGTCTGCCTTGGACTCAGTTCATGATCCCAGGGTCCTGGGATCAAGCCCCGCAGTGGGCCCCCTGCTCTGCGGTGAGCCTTTTCTGTCTCCCTCCGCTGCTCCCCCTGCTTGTGTGCATTCGCTCTCTCTCTCGCTCAAATAAATAAATGAAATCTTAAAAAAATAATAATAAAAGCCTTTCCCTTAAATTGATCAATTTTCCCCAGAGGAGAGGAATCCTCCAAACTCCTTCTAGGGTTGAGTAGCTTGGAGGCGGTTGGTGGTGGTTATAAGTTTGGCTCTAGGCAGAGGAGAGGGAATGGGGGTCTCACTGTTGAGTATGTGGACTCCGTTGAAGACCCTCTCCAGAGCTCTGCCTGGTATTCTGCAGTCTAGTGGCCCTCTGTTCAGCCTCTCCAGAGAGAAACCTGAGTCTCTGCTTGGGTAAATAACAGGACCTGGGGCCTAACTGATTATGCCTGCCTACCATCCAATGTTTCCATCTCCAACCAGGCTCCCCTGTTCCTGATGCCTCATGTTCCCTGCTTTTCTGTCTGTGCCACCAGCTGGGTGCGCCTCAATTCCTCTGCTTTCTCCAATCTGTTGATTCAGTTGCCCCTCGCCTGCCTGCTCTCTATCATGTAAAATTTGTTGACATCTCTTGTCTATCATCGTTGCTCCTATTCTCTGTCTTCGTGGGCTTACCCCTCAAAATATATGGGCTGTTATTTTAGTAGAGTTTGGGGAAGGAAGGAGGTAGGTGGACAGTAGTAGTTGGTAGAAGGAAGTACATACACAAATGCAAGTGGTTCATTTCCATTAAAATTTTTCTAAATCAGCGATGCCTGGGTGGCTCAGTGGTTAAGCGGCTGCCTTCGGCTCAGGTCATGATCCCAGCGTCCTGGGATCGAGTCCCACATCGGGCTCCTTTCTCGGCGGGGAGCCTGCTTCTCCCTCTGCCTCTACCTACCACTCTGTCTGCCTGTGCTCGTGCACGCTCTCTCTCTCTCTCTCTCTCTCTAACAAATAAATAAATAAAATCTTAAAAAAATTTTTTTTCTATATCATGAACAGAGTTGTTTAAAAAATTTTTAAATATAGACATGTGTAATAGGAAGCAACGGTCTCCTGTAATCAATCTCTCACTGAGAGATAACCACTGGTAATAGTTGGGTATACTGGAAACCTTTTCAGGCTTTTAATATGTATAATATAATCATTTATATATGTACACACAATACATGCATGTACACATAGATGTTTTTATGTATGTATGCAAATATGTGTACATACATTATATGTAGATATATGTAAATTTAGTATGTATTAATTCCAACATACGGGTACTGGAAGTAAAAAATTAATTTTTAAAAATGGTGTCATATATACTTTATGAGGTAGCTTTATCTTTTCACCTCACACCTTTCCTGGAACATCTCTCCATTTCAGTTGTACTTAGCTCTACTTCATTAAAAAATGACTAGATGGCATTGATTGAATTTAACCTATCCCCTTTTGAGGGGCATTTCTTATAATTTTCTTTTTTTTTTTTAATTTTTATCACGAACAATAGTGAAGTGAATTTCCCTGTTTTTGCTAGCTAGAAGAAGGCATGAGTGGCGAGGAGGAAGGACATGTTAGTTAAAGGACACAGTTCTGCAGAACCGTGAATAGAAATTCAAAGTGACCGACAGGCACAGAGTTCTTGAGTTCTCAGTCACCTCACAGTGCCTGTTAGCATCAACGCAGTGTGCCATTGCTCTTACTTTCTTTCTAATCGACTTTTGCCCCTTTATTTCCTCTGCCTCTCTTTGGCTGTTTTTATAACTCCTCTGGCTAAATTTCAGTTAAACTAATATGCTGTGTTCCTGTAAGTACTAGGAATACCATTAGGTGTTTGCTTATAATTTTTAATCTCCTGTATATGTAAATGGGAAGTGTAGCTACAGCTTTTTACTAATAAAAAATATTTTTTAGTTTGATGAAGGAAAACAAAAACTGGAGAATAATTCTTAACTTGGAAACTTGGAAAGTCAGATTTTTATTTTACTTTAACCTCTCTAAATGGTAGGATCTGTAGTATAACATTTTTTAGTTTTCTTTCTGATTTAAATAGTTCAAAGATTTTGATCTAAAAAATGTGTTTTTATTCTATTCTGGTGTTGTCAAATAATGAGCCACACTTTTCTATGAGATAGTAAAGGCAATATGAAACTAATTTGGAAATAAATATCATAATCATGGATCTCTGATTTTCGTTTATTGCTGAAGGTTTTACTATGAGCAAAGAATACTTCGGAAGGCCTTTGAAGAATGGAAAGAAGAGTGGTGGGTTTTCCAGCGAGAGTGGAAACTCTGTGTTCGAGCAGACTGTCACTACAGGTCAGGTTTCATGTTATATTACTTGAATTTTATTGATACACATTATTAAGTAGTTAATTGTTAGCATGTTTCTGGTCAAAAGGTGAGAGATTTTTGGTGTTCGTTTTCCAAAGATTCACTTATTTATTTGAGAGAGAGAGAAAAAGTGTGAGCAGAGAGAGAGAGAGAGGGAGAGAATCTCAAGCAGATTCCCCATTGAGCAGGGAGCCTGACATAGGACCCAATCCCATGACCTGAGTCAAAGTCAAGAGTCGGACACTCAGCCGATTTCCCCAAGAGGAAAAAGTTTTTTGCCCCCAGTATTATAACATATAATTGACATATTATCACTGTATGAGTTTTAGATGTACAGTGTAAAGGTTTGACTTGTGAAATGATTACCAGAGTAATTTTAATTAACATCCATCATCTCATACAGACACAATAAAAAATGGGAAAAAAAGAAAAGAGCTGGGTGGCTCATTCTGTTAAGCATCTGACTTCAGCTCAGATCATGATCTCAGGGTCATGGGCTCCCACTTGCACTGGGCTCCCTGTTCAGCAGGGAGTCTGTTTGTCCTTCTCCCTCTGCCCCTGCCCCCACTCATTTTCTCTCTCTCTCTCTGTCTCTCTCAAATAAATACGGTTTTTTTAATAAAACTTTTTTAGTTATAATAGAAAGTCTTAGGAGTTATTCTTTTTTTTTTTAATATTATTTATTTATTTATGAGAGAGAGAGAGAGAGAGAGAGAGAGAGAAAATGAGAGTGAGCATAAGCAGGTAGAAGAGCAGAAGAAGAGAGAGAAGCAGACTCCCCACCGAGCAGGGAGCCCAACACGGGGCCCAAGCCCAACGCGGGGCCCGATCCCAGGTTCCTGGGACCATGACCCGAGCTGAACGCAGACACCCAACCAACTGAGCCACCCAGGCATCCCAGGAGTTATTCTCTTAACAACTTTCATACATATCATACAGCAGTGGTAACCTAGGCATCATGTTGTACATTTCATCTCCAGTACTTCTCTATTTTATAATTAGAAGTTTATGCCTTTGACCACTTTCCTCCAGTTCCCTCTCCCACCCCTGCCTCTGGTACTACGAATATGATCTTTTTCTATAAGTTTTTTGTGTTTGCTTTTAGACTCCACATGTAAGTGAGATCATAGAGTATTTGTCTTTATCTGACTTAGTCACTCAGTATCATGTCTTCAGGGTTCATCCATGTTGTCAAAAATGGCAGGATTTCTTTGCTTTTTATTCCATTGTATGTATATATATATATACCACAACTGCATCCATTCACCCATCCGTGGACACTTAGGTCCTTATGTTGTTTCCATGTCTTGGCTGTAAATAATGCTGCTGTGAACATGGGAGTACAAATACCTTTTCAAGTTAGTGTCTTCATTTATATCAAATATATTCCCGGAAGTGAAATTATCAGATCATATGGTAGTTCTACTTTTAAATCAATACCTCTTTTTTTAACTTTAAATTTTTTATTAACATATAATGTATTATTAGCCCCAAAGGTACAGGTCTGTGAATCGCTAGGTTTACACACTTGGTAGTTCTACTTTTAATTTTTTGTGGATCCTCCATACTGTTTTCCATAGTAGCTACAGCAATTTACAGTCCCACCAACAGTGCACAAGACTCCCTTTTCTCTGCATTCATGCTAACATTTGTTATCTATTGTCTTTTTGATGATGTGACAGGTGTGAGGTATGAGGTGATAGTTCGTTCTAACAGGTACAAGGTGATAGCTCCTTGTGGTTTTGATTTGCATTTCCCCTATGACGGGTGATGTTGAGCATCTTTTCATGAACCTGTTGGCCTTTCACATATCCTGTTTGGAAAAATGTCTATATTCAGTTTCTTTGCCTATTTTTTTTTTAAAGATTTTATTTATTTGACAGACAGAGATCACAAGTAGGCAGAGAGGCAGGCAGAGAGAGAGGGAATCAGGCTCTCTGCTGAGCAGAGAGCCGATGCGGGACCCGATCCCAGGACCCTGGGATCATAACCTGAGCCAAAGGCAGAGGCTTTAACCCACTGAGCCACCCAGGTGCCCCTCTTTGCCTATTTTTTAATTGGAGTATTTGGGGGTTTTTTTGCTCTCAAGTTGTATATATTTTGGATACTAATCCTTTATCAAATCCTATGGTTTGCAAATATTTTTTTCCCCATTCCATAGGTTATCTTACTCACTTTGTTGATTTGTTTTGCTGTGCAGAAGTTTTTTTGGTTTGGTGGAGTCCCATTTGTTTATGTTCGATTTCGTTGTTTGTGCTTTGGGTGTCATATCAAAAAAATCATTGCCAAGACCCATGTGAAGGAGCTCTTTTCCTGTATTTTCTTTTAGGAGTTTTCATGGTTTCAGGTAATATTTAAGTCTTTAATCCCCTGTGAGTTAATTTTTGTGAGTGGTTTAAGATGGGGTCTAGTATCATTCTTTTATAAGTGCATATTGAATTTTCCCAGCACCATTTTTCGAAAAGATTGTCATTTTTCCATTGAGTAGTCTTTGCTCCTTTGTCAAATATTAGTTGAGCATTTATACTTGGGTTTATTTCTGGGCTTTTGATTCTGTTTCATTGGTTTGTTTTTATGCCAGTACCATACTGCTTTGATTACTATAGCTTTATAGTATAGCTTTAAATCAGGAATTGTGATGCTTCCTGCTTTGTTCTTCTTTCTCAGAATTGCTTTGGATATTTTGAGTCTTTTGTGGGTCCATGGAAATTTTTGGATTGTTCTACTTCTGTAGAAAATGCTACTGAAATTTGATAGAATTTACATTGAATCTATAGATGGATTTTGGTAGTATCATTTTAATAATTTTAATAATATTTTAATATTAACACTTAATTATGCAATTAAATTATATAATTTAATAACATTTTAATAATATTAATTCTTCCTATCCATAAATATGGGATACCTTTCCATTTATTTGTGTCTTTGATTTCTTTCGTCAGTGTTGTATAGTTTTCAGAATAGAGATCTTTCACCTCCTTGGTTAAATTTATTACAGAGTATTTTATTGTTTTTGATGTTATTATAAATGGAATTGATTTGTCAGATAGTTCACTGTTCGTATATAGAAATGATACTGATTTCTGAGTGTTAATATTCTATCCTGCCAAGTTTACTGAACTTTTTATTAAATAGTTTTAGGTCTGAATCTTTAGGATTTTCTGTATAAAATCATGTCGCCTACAAATAGAGATAATTTCACTTCTTCCTTTCCAATTCTGATGCCTTTTATTTGTTTTTCTTTCCTGATTGCTTTGACTGGGACTTCAAATACTATGTTGAATAGGAGTGGTAAGAGAGGACACTTTTGTCTTGTTCCTCATCTTAGAGGAAAAACTCTCATCCTTTCTCCTTTTGAGTATGATGTTAGCTGTGGGCTGGTCTTATATGGCCTTTATTATATTGAGATATGTCTGGTCTATCCATAATTTGTTAAATATCTTTATCATTAATGATTATTGAGTTTTGTCAAATGCTTTTTCTGTGTCTGTTGAGGTTACCCTATGATTCTTTTTTTTTCATTCTGTTAATGTGATGGATTGCATTGGTTGGAGAAACGTTTTGAATCCTATTTCTGTTTTTCTTCAAACTCTTTTTAGATAAGATCAAAGTCCTAAATTAAACCCAAGCACATGTGCATGTGGGCACACACACATAGAAATACCTCTTGTTGCTCTTGTTAATGATTTGAATAGGGTTTTCTCACTGACTCTCACTTATGTATAATTTCTAATTCTGAGAGTGTTCCATGTTTTTAAAATAATAAGTTGTTTTAAATTTTATTGATTATAGGAGAAAATATGTGCCCGATATGGGACATTAAGGAAGTAGAAATAGAAAGAAAAAACTAAATCTTGACATTGGTACTCCCAGGGATCAGTAGAGGAAAAAGTAAAAATTGGAATTCTATCAAATACACATTTTATACCTTTTTTATACAATAAAAAATTAATGTATCTTACACATTGTATCTTTTAAAAATAGTATTTACTCTCATAATCACTTCTTTATTTAGGTTCTTTGGGTCAGGGTTTCTGATTTGTGGATATTTCAGATAAAATAAAGACAATGTTGAGTCATTCTAATAAGCTTGTAGAGTACGAAATCAAGTCTTATGGGGCGACTGCCTTTGGCTTAAGTCATGATCCCAGGGTCCTGGGATTGAAGCCTGGATCAGGCTTCCTGCTCAGTGGGAAGCCTGCTTCTCCCTCTCCCACTCCCCTTGCATGTGTTCGTTCTCTTGCTGTGCTGATCTCAAATAAATAAGATTTTACTTATTTACTATAAAAAAGAAATCAAGTCTTAGGAAATGGGTTAGAAAATACAGAGGGACTGACAGTCTTAATGTGTATAGTGTATGTATTGAGAAGGAAAAGACAAAGGAAAAGTGTCATTGACCATGTTTAGTGCAGAAGAGAGGTAATGTTTTATATTAATAATGTGGATGATTAAGGTGATAAAGGTATGACTGTCACTCCAAATGTCACAGCTTTGTGATGCTGAAGGTGAAGTTATTCTCATATAATTCAAAGCCCATTTTTTTTTCTTAGTGATACTTTAAGTAAGGTAAGGAGAATGTGAAGTTATTCACATATAATTCAAAGTCTATTTTTCCTTAGTGATACTGTAAGGTGAGGAGAACGACTCTCCATCAAGGAGAATAAGTTTCACTGTGACTATGGGAAATAAAATTTTAGCTTAAGATACAGATATGTGGGATGCCTGCGTGGCTCAGTGGGTTAAGCCTCTGCCTTCAGCTCGGGTCATGATCTCAGGTTTCTAGGATCGAGCACCACATAGGGCTCTCTGCTCCATGGGGAGCCTGCTTCTCCCCCCCTTCTGCCTTCCTCTCTGCCTACTTGTGATCTCTGTCTGTCAAATAAATAAAATCTTCTAAAAAAATTAAAAAGATATAGATATGGCTTTTTTGTATTAGAAGTATCCGTGTTACTTTCTGAGTACAGAATGGACTGGGTATATTGAATTAGGAGTTTTGTTTGTTTGTTTGTTTGTTTTTAAAAGATCATATTTATTTATTTATTTGTCAGAGAGAGAGAGAGAGCACAAGCAGGCAGAGTTGCAGGTAGAGGCAGAGAGAGAAGCAGGGCCCCCACTGAGCAAGGAGCCCAATGTGGGATTCGATCCCAGGACCCTGGGATCATGACCTGAGCTGAAGGCAGCGGCTTAACCAACTAAGCCACCCAGGCGTCCTAAGAGTTTTTTTGGTTTAAAGAAATGCCACTTGGGGACCTGAGTAGCTCAGTCTGTGGAGCATGCGACTCTTGATCTCAGGGTTGTGAGTTCAAGCCCCATATTGGATATAGATATTATAAATAAATAAACATTTTTTTAAATGTTTTACTTTTTTTTTTTCCCCTCCTCAGATATTACTTGTACAACCTGATGTTCCAGACCTGGAGGACCTACGTGCATCAGCAGCACGAGATGAGGATCAAGTACATTAGAGCTGAGAATCATGGTGAGAAAAGGAAGTACATGTTTAAAGAAAATGCCTTCATTTATATGATTTTCTTATATGAAGACTTAATTTTTTGAGAGCAGTTTTAGTTAGGTTCATAGCGCAAAATTAAGGAGCAGATAGAGTGATTACCCATATACCTCTTCCCCCAAACATTCCTAGTCTCTCCCACTATCAACCTCACTCACCAAGCGGTATGTTTGTTATAGTGAACCCTCATCAACACATCATAATCACTCAAAGTCCATAGTTTATATTATGGATCACTCTTAGTGTTGTCCCCCCCCTTTTTTTTTAAGATTTTATTTATTTATTTGACAGATAGAGATCACAGGTAGGCAGAGAGGCAGGCAGAGAGAGAGCAGAGAGCCCGATGCAGGGCTCGATCCCAGGACCCAGGGATCATGACCTGAGCTGAAGGCAGAGGCTTAACCCACTGAGCCACCCAGGCACCCCAGTGTTGTCCCTTTTATACACATGTATTGATCATTATGGTATCATGCAGAGTATTTTCAGTGCTCTAAAAATCTTCTGTGCTCTACCTGTTTAGCTCATCTCCTCCCTTTGGCAACTTTTTTTTTTTTTTTTAAGATTTATTTATTTGAGAGAGAGAACATGAATGGGAGGGGCAGAAGAAGAGGGAGAGAGAATCTCAAGCAGAATCCGTGTAAAGCATGGAGCCCAATGCGGGGCTCAATCCCACAACCCCGAGATCATGGCCTGAGCCAAAACCAAGAGTTGGACGATCATCCGATATACCACCTAGGTGCCCATCCAAGCACCCATCTTCCCTGTGCCCAGCAAATTTTTACTGTCTTCATAGTTTTGCCTTTTCCAGAATGTCATATGATTGAAATCATATAGTATATAGCCCTTTCAGATTGGCTTCTTTTACTTAGTAATTGCACTTAAGTTTCCTCCTTATCTTTTATGGTTTGATAGTTCATTTCTTTTTAGTGCTGAATAGTATTCCCTTGTCTGGATGTACCACAATTTCTTTATCCATTTCTGAGAAGGACATCTTGGTTGCTTCTAAATTTCGGCAGTTACAAATAAAACTTTCCATGTGCAGGTTTTTGTATGGACATAAATTTTCATCTCCTTTGGATAAATACCAAGGATTGCAATTGCTGGGTCATATGATGAGTATGTTTAGTATTGTAAGAAACTGCCAAACTGTCTACCAGAGTGGCTGTGCTATTGTGCATTCCCACTAGCAATGAATATGAGTGTCTGTTGCTCCATATCCTCACCAGCATTTGGTGTTGAGAGTGTTAGGGTTTTGGCCATTCTAATAGGTGTGTAGTGGTATCTTGTTTTTAATTTTTATTTTCTGATGACATATGACCTGGAGCATCTTTTCATGTGCTTATTTGCCAGCTGTATACTTTTGCTGAGGTATCTTTTGTCCATTTTTTAAGTTGGATTATTTTCTTGTTGAGTTTTTAGAAATCTTTGTATATTTTGTAACAATCTTTTATCAAATGTCTTTTGCAAATATTTTCTCCCAGTCTGTGGCTTGTCTTCTCATTCTCTTTACATGTCTTTTGCAAAACAGACATTTTTAATTTTTTTTTCAAAGATTTTATTTATTTATTTGACAGAGAGACACACACAGTGAGAGAGGAAACACAAGCAGGGGGTGTGGGGGAGGGAGAGGCAGACTTCCCACCCAGCAGGGAGCCTGATGCAGGGCTTGAATCCCAGTACCCTGAGATCATGACCTGAGCTGAAGGTAGACGCTTAATGACTGAGAAACCCAGGCACCCCAAAACGATTTCATTAAAATCCAGCTCATCAAATTTTTCTTTCATGCATCATGCTTTTTGTGTTGTATCACTCCCAAGGTTATCTGAGTTTTCAACCTTTGTTATTGTCAAGGAGTTTTATTGTTTTGTGTTTTACATTTAGGTTAGTAATCCATTTTGAGTTAATTTTTCTGAAGAATGTAAGATCTGTGACTAGATTCTTTTTTTTTTTTTTTTTTTGCATGTCTAAGTCCATTTGTTTTTGCACTATTTGTTGAGAAGACTGTTTTTGCTCCATTGTATTGCTCCTGATCCTTTGTCAAAGATAAGTTGTCAACAACCTGGTATTTACATGGGTCTGCTTCTGGGCCCTCTCTTCTGTTCCATTGATCAGTTTGTCAGTTCCTTCACCAATATCATTTTGTTCTGATTACTGTAGCTTTATAATAAGTCTTGAGGTCTGATAATATCATTCCTTCAACCTTGTTCTTTAATATTGTGTTGGCTTGGGGTGCCTGGGTGGCTCAGTGGGTTAAAGCCTCTGCCTTCCGCTCAGGTCATGATCCCACGGTCCTGGGATCTGGTCCTGCATCAGGCTCTCTGCTCAGCAGGGAGCCTGCTTCCTCCTCTCTCTCTGCCTGCCTCTCTGCCTGCTTGTGATCTCTGTCTGTCAAATAAATAAAATCTTTAAAAAAAAATTATTGTGTTGACTATTCTAGGTCTTCTGTCTCTCCATGTAAACTTTTAATCAGTTTGTTGTTACCCATAAAATAACCTGCTGGGATTTTGTTTCGGATTGCTTTGAATCTATAGATCAAGTTGGGAAGAACTGACATTTTGATAATATTGAGTCTGCCTATCCACGAAAATGGAATATTCCTCCATTTATGTAGTTCTTCGATTTTGTTTGTCAGAGTTTTGCAGTTTTCCTCATATTGACATTGTATATATTTTGTTAGATTTATACTTGATGATTTCATTTTTGAGAGTGCTAATGTAAATGTTATTGTGCTTTCAATTCCAAATTCCATTTGTTCATTGCTGGTACATAGGAAGGCAATTAACTTTTTTATATTAACTTTATATCTCAACCTTGCTATGAATTGCTTATTAGTTCCAGGAATTTTGTTTGTTTGTCAATTCTTTTGGATTCTCTATACAGACAATTTTACTGTGAACAAAGATAATTTTACTTCTTTCTTCCCAATCTTTATACTTTTATTGCTTTTTCTTGTTGCATTAGCTAGAACTTTTAGTATGATGTTGGAAAGCAGTAGTTGAGGGGACCTGGGTGGCACAGTCAGTTAAGTGTCCAACTCTTGGTTTCAGCTTAGGTCTAATCTCACCGTTGGTCTTGAGATTGAGCCCTGTATTGGGCTCTGTACTCAGCACAGAGTCTGCTTGTGTTTCTCTCTTCCTCTCCATCTGCGCCTTTACCCACCTCCCCCACCCCTCTCTTTCTCTCTCTTTCTCTAAAATAAGTGAAATAAATCTTTGAAAAAAAGAAAGGTAGTTGAGAGGGGTCATTTCTGCCTTGTACCTGATCTTAGTGGGAAAATTTTGAGTTTCTTATCATTTAGTATGATATAGGCTTTTTGTAGATATTCTTTATAAAGTTGAGGAAGGCCCTTCTCTTTTTCCTAGTTTCCGGAGAGCCCACATTTACTTTTACAGAAGCTCTTGGGGAAGACAAGTACACATTACCTCTGAGAGAAAATAACTCCAGGTCAAAGGGAACATTTGTTTGATCCCTTTCCTATTATCCAGAATCTTTATCTCTGAGCAAGAACTCCTCTACGGTCATATCCCTCTGGTTTTCTCCATATGTCATGGTTTTGGCACCTACAACTCATTTAAGCATGATTTCTGTGAACTGGCTCTTCCTGCCCTCCCACAGCACCTGGGGTGGTTGTCTAGCTGGTCATGTGTCAAGTTGCAGTGCTCACTTCTAGTCTTCTTTGTCCAGGTTGCCCTTTAGTGATCTTGTGGCCATTTTAGCTCTGGTCAGTATCTGGTTCCTCTGTGAGTTGAGTCCAGAGACCCATATTGGGAGTCTAAGAGAAAGTCTAAGGCACTGAGTTTCAGAATGATAGTTCTGCCTGCATTAGCAGTTGTCTCACACCCATTTCACGTGAATGCTTTGCAGCCACCTCCAACTCAGCAAGTTACAAATAAAACTTAACTGCCCCACATTTAGATCTGCTTTTCCTCCTACTTTTCCTAGCTAAGTGAGAAACCTTACTGAGGCATGGCCTATCCATTCCTCATGCCTCATGTCATTCATTTATCTGTGTTTATAATACGGCTCTCCGACGTGTCACTTGAATTCATCTTTTCTTCACTACTGCCCAATTCATCCTCTCCTTTCCCCCAAAGTTTTATAAGTTCCTCTTCCTTCATCTCTCTGCATTTATTTTCTTTCCCTTCTCATTGTCCACATGGCTATAATAGTGGTAAGACATAGGTAAGATCATGTCACTCCTGGGCATATAAATTCGTTTGGCTCCTCTTTGCTAATAAAGTCAGCACTCCTTGGTATAGCATACAAGGTCTTCACCTTTTCTCTTCTTTACCTTCCATACACCGTATGCCCTTGCCACACTGGATATGTACTTTGATATCTTTCCGTGCTTGCCCCTGCAGTTCTTCCAGTGGGCCCATTTCAAGTATCATCTTCCCCATGTAGTGTTCCCTTCTGTCTCATGGGCTCTTCCTTCCCTTGTCTATTTTCCCAAAATGTGAGAAGCTGTTCCTGAGGCAGGTGCATTGTTTCAGTATTTAGCTGGTAAGTTGCTTATGTTGTGTTGTGTCCTTTTTAATTTATACAAAGTAAGAATCACTCTTTTTGGTATGCAGGTCTTTGAGTTTTGAGGAATGCATAGCTGTGTAGCTGTGTAGCCACCGCCACAATCAAGTGACAGAAAATTCCATTACTCCTGACCTTGTGGTAACCTTCTGTGACACCTGCCCTCCGCACTTGATTCCTAGCAACCACTGATCAGTTATCACCATAGACTTTCCTTTTCTAGAAGGCCATATAAAGGGAAACATTTAGTAGGTAGTATTTTGGCGCTGCCTTCTTTCAACTAGCATAATGCATTGGACATTCATCTGAGTTGTTGCATGTTTCAGTTTGCTGAGTAGTATTCTGTATACTGCATAGTAGGTGTGTATGAAAGTTTGTTTATCCATTCCCTGATTGAAGGACATCTGAGTTGTTTCCATTTTAGACACTATGAATTATAAATCATA